TAAAATTAAGATGGTGTAGACGCTCCGTGCTGCTCGAGTTTTACTTGATCATGAATCGACTGAGAGATGGGCGAAGTGTTTGAAAATAATTTTCCAACTTGGCCAGGTCCGAGAAGAGGTTATTTTTTCAATGCGCAGTGCCAAATTTTAAAGCGATGGCACCAATGATCCAATTTTATTCTGGTGCCTAACAGAGTGTGTGGTTGTCCTTTCTGCTTTTAAGTTCAACGTGTTAGGCTTATTGAATGCGAAAGTTTTAGAGCAAAAACGTGGCGGGAAAATTTTCTTTCGAATTTTTAGACTAATAAAAGCCCAAAAAAGGGCTTTAGATTTTTCGGAAAAGGCTCTCCCTCCGTCGAATTCCTCCAAATGGTAGCCATCACTTCCTAAACTAATGTGACGCTCTGCTTTACTATAAATAATAATTTCAGGAACGAGCAGGCATTGTTAATTTTATAGGTTCTTTTGAATGGTTGTGCATATACAGCAACGCATTGTCAGTAATTTCATTTTGTTGCTAGAAAATGCATGCAATTTTCATGTGTGTGATCACTTACATTTTCGCTATTAGCTGTACTAAGGGTATAAATGTGTTTGAATTTTTGTCTTGGGATTTTTACTTTTCTCAACAATCACAAAAGCTGAATTTTGAAAAAGTATTACCTGTCCGTTTGCGACCTAGACAAGCTTTTGTAAGGGGATAGGTAAAAGTTATAACCGGATATTTACTAATTCGGGAACCAGACAAGATAGAAGTGTAAAATTCTACTGGGGTATTTCTTGTCATGAAGGCAGCTTAAGCACTTTCTTCAAGCACAAAATTGTGCGGCGATCCTCCAACAATCAAGACCCCACAAATTTCGTACGGCGCGCTTCAGCTGGTGAAAAAACAGGACGAGACGTATCTCCGATTTCCCACAGATTGCAGCGTCTTCGTCAAAATATTAGCATGTTCTTGTCCCGCTCTGTGCAATACGTCAAAATTTATAACTGGCAGTGAAGACAGAAAGACGAAGATGGATGGAAGTCACAGACTCAGGACTGCTATCTGTCTTAACTAATTAGCTTGCAGTTGCAGATTAATGCCGGAATATGAGACTCTTTTGGACACACCTGCATCTTTAGAATCACCGTCGCACGAATTAAACCACAACGATCCGAAATATGAAGAAAAAGTTGCCGAAGAGCAGGTCGAGCAATTCGCGGCCACTCCTGCTAATGAAAACAACAACACGAACATATTCGATAAATTGCGAACTGCCTTGGAACGCACAACGCTGACCGATACGGATGAAAAGAAAGGAAAAGAAACCGAGAAAACTAGTAAAACGAAGAAAACTGAAGGTGGTATGCGAATTTTTGGAATCGGCTAGAATTTGTTGCATGATTGTTAACTCGGACTTTTTGGGCCGAAAAGCATTTTTATCATAATTTCATTCCAACATTACCAATTCATTGTGTTTTAGTACATTTCTTCCTACTCCCCTTCTGTTTCATTTTCTCTTCCGTCAGTCAGACTGAGAATTCCCGATGCGACGAAGCAAATTTTGTCACTCGAATGTGATTTAGCGAAAGGAAGGGACGCATGGAAAATGAGATAAAACACTTTCATAAACTTCAAGCCACAAACTCGAGCTAGATTCATCTAATTCGTATTTTAAGAACTCATCCATCTTCCTAAGAGCAAATTTTTTCCGAAATAAACTACACATTTTGGTTTTTAATATTTCCAACATTTCTCACTGATAGCTTTACCTGTTCTTTAAACGA